GAGACCAAGCCGAAAGAGTGACCAATCATGACGAAGTACTTGGGACGATCGTCATCGGGTATAAGGCAGATCACGCTGAACTTGCGATGCTCCGGCAAGATCGGCAGCTGCCGATAGGCTTTCCTCTTGTCGAGGACCCAGCCTTCAAGACGACGATCGCCTGCTCGGGTCCTGAGTTCACGAAGAACTGCTACATTAAGATCAGTGGACGGCAGTTGCAGCTTCTCCATGACCACGGCCGTCTTGTTGATCAGGTTCGACGTGGCGCTGTCACAGCCGCGGACCTTATTCTGCTGCAGGACCTCGAACCGGGCAGTTGGAACTGCACTGCACCTGCGAAAGATCTTCTTGCGGAACTCCCAGGCCCGAGATTCAGCTTCCGAAACCTGAACAGGATGCTGCGTGGTTAGGCCATTCTGGCCAGCGTCCGAGTCCAAATCGTGGGATCTGCCCCACGATCGGAACACCAGCACGCAGACCTTGTGCGAGGGAGCGATCCACGCAACCAGATGCGTTAACTGAGCAACTCATCGTAGAGCTTGACATGCGCAAAGGATCCCAGTTGCAGATCAGCATAATCGGGACCGCCTCGAAGGAGCTGGATCAGCCGTTGCACGATTAAGCTCACTTAACTGTCAGGAAGAAGAGCGTGAGCCCGATCTTTCCAATACTGCAGATTTCTCAAACGGCGATCCACCAGGGCAAGCGGCTTGGACGCGATCGTGTCGATGTTTTGCCAGATTTCCTTGAGGATCTCTGGTTATACACGGTGAACGGGTGCGTGATCTGAAGAGCCCAGCGAACAGCAGCACCCGGCTCGCAGTCGATCTCAAGGAGCGGTTTAGCCGCGCCACGCTTGAGCTGGTAGCCACTGGCGGCGGCAAGTCGAGCAGCCTGTTCCTGGCGGTGACCTTTCCAAGGAACAGAGTCGCTGAGCTTGTGCTTTCGATCTGAGGAGCTCACCACCAAGTTGAAAGACTTCGCAAACTGAGGCAGCTCTCTGTGGGCGGTCTGTTTGACCACTGCCGACCAGGCGATCGCCAGGCCGATCGGATAGACCTGCGCGGGCTTGGTGGCAAAGACCCAATAATTGCCGTCAGGTTGGCGAACCCTGCCCTTGAGGGGAACATGCGTATGGTCTCCTGAGCATGTACGTGCGAGCTGCACAAAAAGAGCATTACTAGCTAACCTTCGCGTGATCACGCGGCCGGTTCTTTTTTGAGCTCTTCCCGAGCGGGCTGTCTCAATTGAGGTCAGAGCCAGCCAAAAGGCGGGAACTTGCACAATTGAACTGCCGCTCCGAACGGGTTGCCTGCGAAACTGAGCGAAAGCTTAGCTGTGCGGATCATGGCGTCCTGTGGGGCCGGAACGAGGTTGGCTCGCCGATCGGCCCCATGAGGTTCTCCTGACCCGGCTCTGCTTCCATGACCTCGCGGACCACTGCCGTCGACTGCTTAGCATGTCCCGACGAGCTGGCGGCGGCCGATCGAGTCACGAACTGCGAGCCCGGACCTGTCATCTCCACGAACATCTGCGGCGCGAGCTTTGCCGTCGACCTCGAGAAAGAGCGGTCTTCACAAGCTGCATCCCGAGCCGGCTGTCCCGGATGTCATCTTGAGCTCGGGTACGAAGAGCAAGCCTACTTCGGCGATCGCCTGAGCTGACTCTGCGACCACGTTCCAAGCCCTTTGTCGAGCTCCGGCTCGCGGACTCGCGGACAAAGAGCTTGCCCTCCGCCTGCACGTGGAAGTCGCCAGCATCCAGTCCAGCCACGAACGTGACAAGGACCCCGACCTTCTCAGCATCGAGCGTCTGAGCCTTGCGCCACCAATGCTGATGGGCAGCCGCCAGCTGAGCGAACTGCTCCGTCTGCTCGGGACCTTCCACGCGAGCGCACTGCCCCCTGCGCCGGGTGATCGTCTGGATGATGGTAGGGCCGCTGATATGCCACACCGTCAACCGTGTTGCCGGCACGGAGGTGCGAGCGCACTTCAGATCGATGCGGTTGTTGGCGCCGCGATAGCGAACTCCACTCGATCTGCACAATTTCCCACGGCATCCTCAGACGACCGGTCTGTGACTCGGAGCTCAAACCGTGACCTTGCACTGTCACCGGCGATCACCGTTCCATTGGGACCGACTGAGTAAGTACGGCCACCGCACTCGAACGAGAACACAGAGACCCGCCAGCCTGAAAAAGCTGGCACGACCACTGACAACCGAACTCGTTCACGGCAGACACCTTTGATGAAGAACTCGTCGGCGAACTGCTGCTGGACTGACAGATCGGTGCCAGCGCGAAAGCCCCTGAAGATCCAGTGGAACAGGATCTCGTTCCCATTGTAGATTTTCACATCCGTGTAGGAGGGGGATGTGCCATTCAGAACTGGCCACGAGAATGGCTGAAAAAGCCACGTGGCTAAGAGCATCTGCTGTGGCGGGATCCCATCCACCACAGGGAGCTCCCGTCTGAGTTCGATCGAGATCGCCACAGTCGTCTTGAAGCCATCGACCGTGTAGTTGGCAAAAAGAGACAGGTGATAACCTGACTGAGGTGGCATCACCTGATCTCTGTCCGTGAGAACATTGGTCGAACTCGTCATGATCTCTCTCACCGACCAGGCCTGAAAGGCGACACGATCCGATCGTCTCGAGTGTCCACCGTGATGACGGAAGCCTTGCGACCGTTGTGTTCACATTCAGCGATCGACTCAATGAAGTGGGGCAAACGGACCTCGTAGGGGTTATGAGCAGCTTGTGGGAACTGCCCACCTCCCCATCACGGCGACCGCTGCCGCCTGATCCACCCCATCCTCCGCCCTGGCCAAGATCTTGAGCTTGACTTGGTACTGACCATGCTGGTAGTCTCTGGGATCCCAGGATGCAACAGGAGTACCTCAACTGGCCATGGCTCGATCTCCCAGCCCCTAGAGCTGACTTCCTGATGACCAAAAAATCGATCGATCCTTCCCGGACCGTCAAGGTGAACACCTTGACCCAAAGTGGCCACGGGAAGATCACTGTTTCTCAAGATCCTGAACAGGCAGCTCATATGTCGCTATGGCGCACCATAGGTCTGTCCCCCTCCTCCGGGGGCTGCGACTCGGTGTACGAGGCCTCCTTGCGGCCGCCGAATTCGGGCTGGCGGTGTGCCATGGGCGCCCTCGTTCCCCCCATGGCCACCTCATCTCTCGCGACAGTGTGTCTGACATAACCGGGTTGTCGTCGTCATCACGGTCTCCCCCCATATCACGCGGGGAGGTTATGGCTGGTTGCTCGTCGTCAATATCGCTGCCTCCCCAGTCGACTTCATGCTCTTCGTCCCCCGCTGACGTCTTCTCTGCTGGTACGACGGCAGGGGCTGTGTCGGGTGTGTCCTTCCCCTCCGTGGCGTCGTGCTTGGCTTTCTTCTTTCTGCGCTTCTCCTGTTTCGTCTTCCCCTCCTTGGCTTTTTTGCGGTGCTTCTTGTCTGGCTTCCCCTCCTTCGTCCGTTGCTTGTCTTGCTTGTCCTTCACCGGCTTGGGGTTCTCTTGCAGCCCGGCAGTCTGGGCGGTCTACCCCCCATGCCGCTGCTCTCCCATCGACTTGTATACACTCTTGCCTTCCGCAAGTAGTCTGCTCACTTCCCACGGGCACTTGGCAATGTAAAAGCGCAGCTCCACCACAGTCTGCGGGTTGATTTTGGCTGCAAGTTTCATAAGCTCGTCAGCCTGTCCCCCGGTGTGTCGTCGTTCTCTATGGTGTTGCAGGTATGTTTGGTAGTCCTCGCTCTCGGCTTCTGTGAGTTCGTCCCCCGTGGTGGGGTCCATGTATACCTGCTTCTTGCTGTCCCACATACACTCTCTGTTGATCCATCTGTCCAGCGGGTGCAGTTCGTACAAGAACACCGTCCCCTCCTTTGTCTCAAAGCGCACATAATCAGCAAGAGGCCGGTTCCCGCTCGCCATTGTCTGCGCTGATCCCCCCAGCGGTTCGGACACTGCTCGGGCAGCTGTGCTCTGCCCCTCTTTTCTCATGTCCTTGATGCTGGCGGGGCTGCTGGCGGTTCCGGCTGCAAGCGTATACTTGTAGCAGCTCCTCCCCCCATCGTGGGGTTTGTGGTACCAGGGTCCTTGCAAGCAAGCCTTGCAATTCACCCCATCTCTCGGAGACGTTCTGCGAGTTTGCATTGCTCCTCCCAGGTCGCTTTGACTTTGGGTGGCTTGGCATCGGGAGCCCTCTGCTGTCCCCCCCTCACAGAGCTTTTCGAAAAGCTCGCCATCGATCTCCCCAGGCTGTCGTAGTCGTGAAAGATCACCCGCAGTTCCATAGTCAAAGAGTATGCTCCGTCCCCCTACTAGAGGGCCACCTTCCGAAGAAGGGCCTCGTTCAGGTTCGGGAGGGAGAACGAAAAGGGCTCGGGCTTGCTTAAGCAACTCGGCTGCGGATATGTGCTTAAGCACCACAGGGCAAGACAGACGAGCTTTGCTGCCCAGGTCAACTCTCTGCCTCGCCCCCGCACAAGAGGGTGGAACAACACCCCCAAGCACAGGTGTAGTACTTGAGCCAAAATGGCTACTCTCTCTCTCTCTCTCTCTCTCTCTCTCTCTTCGCCAGGGTTAGGGCTAGGGGCCAAGGGGTTGCCCCCCTAGCCCTCTCTCTCTCTGTTTCTGATTCTTTCTGCAGGTCTTAGAACAGGACCCGCCCCAGCAAATCTGCACCCGGAGTGGTAGGAGTAGTGGATGGCACCGAGACCGAGACAGAGAGAGAGCGAGAGAGACAAAGACAGAACATACAGACATACCGGCGGGTAGAGAGTGTGGCGGCGGCAACAGGGAGATGACGGGACTGACAGTCGGAGACAGAGCCAGAAAAGAGAGGCGCAGAGGGATGGCAAGGCAGACAGAGACAGGCAGGCACAGAGACTCCCACACAGGCAGGTCGGCAGGCAGACACAATTACCTGAGGCGACACTACCAGAGAGGTGCTGCAAGGGCTTTCAAAGCAGAGGCGCTACTCGCCTCTGGATCTCTCCAGCGGACGAAACGAGAACTCGCACACTCTGAATGGAACTGGGTAGCAAATCAGCTCGGCAGCTGAAGCTTCCAAGACGCTTGCCCAGGGCTCCTGACAGCTCGGGTGCTCTGACTGCTCTGCGCAGACTCTAGGTGGCAAAAGCTTTCTGACATCTCCAATCCCACTCATAGATTCGGTTCAGTGAAGTATCGGCAGGCTGCAATGCGAGCACGCGCGGAAGGCCCATCAGAAGATGCGTCAGGGGTACCTGAGTGAGACGTGCAGCACAAACGTCGCGGTCGACTGTTAGCTGCGACGGATGGCCACCACTGGCAGCAAAAGCACCTAGAAGACAAGGTGCTCCGGAGACTGCCTACCTTGTCGGGCTCCGCTTGCACTCAATACCAACCATATAGGATCCAGCGAATCACTGACAGCAAAATCCAGGGCCCACTGGCGCCACCATAACATCACCCCTACCGCTGGTGTAAGCACTAAAGACTAAAGACCACTGCCTTGCTAATTGGTCATGCGATGACAAAGAAGCAGTTTGCCAGAGACAACCTGTTACGTTACGGCATTGTGAAGTCTTGTAAGAGTTCGCGAAAGGATCGCATATGAGTCAAAACATCTACTTCAAGACCTCCTGTCATGACTAGCTGACTAGCTATGTTACTATTTCTTATTTGGTAGACTGCACAAAGGACAACAAAATTCAGGTCCTCTTGCCGGTACCACAGTAGGCCAGCAAGTCGATCGAACAAATCCGATCTAAATACTTCTACATCCAATCCGATCTGCGAGGTGCCGGCAGCTCGCTCTCCATCTCTGCAGTGCTCGCACACATCTCCTCGAATGCTGTTACGCTGAGTAGGTCAAGGCCCCAAAATTATCAGGCTTCAGAGCATAAGGGGTCCCAATAATGACCCCGACTGGTCCAAGCAGGATCCTTCATACGAGGGCCATGAGGGGCCCATGGATCAGGCCCAAGTACCCCTAACTTTCCAAACAGCGGCATATGCGCCGGTTCGACATGCTTTATAGCACTGGCTCACGGAGTCTGCCAGGACTCTGCAACAGCCGATCCAAAGGTGAGCACCATCTCCAAGTCAGCGAGCCCAGTTGCCGTGTCGAGCGCAGCAGAGCCAGATTGAACCTCCCCAACGAGTTCTGGCGCTGTAGGGTGCAATCGCCAGCGAAAAAAACAACTAGGCAACTCCTCTTGTTCCTCTAACAACATTGTCAAATTCAACTTGCCTGGAGCTCACGCAGCTTCGCGACGGCCTCTCCTCCGGCAGATGCTTGCAGTCATGCTGCGGGTGGCCTTGTGGCCCTTGTGGTCTGCTTGACCGATGCACTACAGTTTTACTATGCGTAAGCAAGATTTCGGATCTTTCTACCTTCAAGGTGCTGCTGTAACGAACTTGGGATTGCCAGCGAAAGTGCTGCTGTTCCATTTGTTCAAGTACAGCCATGCTCTCCAGACAACACCCGCCTTGTCTTTGAGGAGCACCTGAACACCACACCGTTAGCACCTTCACAGCCACAGAGGCTGCAAATCTCTTTTTGCTGCATCTGCAAGCCGCTGATGAAGCAACGGCACAAGCGTCCTAGCCTGTGCAATCCGCCCACGCACGCCCCAAGCAGCAGCCTTTGGCCCCTGGTCGGCGGGCCTTTTCATGAGGATTGAAGATGAAGCCGTCTCGACAAGCATGAACACGGAAAGGAAGCACACAACTGTTCCGTCGGTCTAGACCACAACTCCGCCAAGGACCAATTTGTTGCGGTGCAGTCTACCAGAGGTCGCCATGGGAGAAACGTCTGATACTGCAAGCTTGATGAAAAGTTCGAGAGCTTTCCCGCTCACCTGAACCTGCACCGGTGGAATGTCAGGCGAGGAGCAGGTCCAACGGAAGCTTCAGAGCCACCGGTAGCGCGCAGAGGAGCCTTAGGTCCCATCGTGAGATGATGCGAGATGTGAGGCTGTGAACAGCATCCCGAGGTCAGACAAGTCTTCGTCGGGATCCACGTACAAGTATGAAGATGCAACCTGCCCGGCTCGTCTCGGCCATGGCTCTGTGCATAAGCCGTGGCAGCAGCAACATCCAATGAGGCAGACGACGGCTCAGACCGCAACCCATTGGCCAAGACCTGAGTTTACGCTTCCGGCTTATAGGGGCACCAGCTTAGGATAGGCTCGGTGAGACAGAAAGGCTCGGAGTTCTCTTGCAAATCTCTTACAGCCCTGCCGCCTCCCAAGCGTCGAAGGCTCTCCCCAGTAGACCTCCTTCCACATCCACCTGGCGCAGCTCGTTTCAGTCTTGATGCCCGCAAGAAGGATGCTTGCACCAAGCCGCATGTCCTTCGGTGAAGAATTTCCAACCCCAAAACCTGCTGAGTTTCGGTGGTCGTCCCCCGCCTCGGCTCCTCCTCTGGGGCCCGTGACCACAAGCAACCTCACACCTGAAGCGGAAAGCAACATTGGTCCTGTATGCCAGTGTGTCTGCAACCTCAGAACTGTGCCTGCACACTTTTCTGATATCTGGACTTCCACGCCCTGTCGCAGACTGAGAACGGGTAATTGTACACTAATGATTTTATCGGATGAACAGTGTCCTACAGTCAGCAGGACCCAAAAGCAATGGAAAAGCTAGGACACCCATTTCGGTGAGCACTGGAAGGAATGACTCCGAACAGAGCCTCAGTTGAAGCACGCAGTACCAGTAGTTTCGTGACCAGTCCGACCAGCTTAATCGGCAACGCTGGAAGACAAGCTTCCCTCAGCGAAGCGCTCACTGTCAAGAATCGCGGAATCTCAAAGGTACGGTACTACTTACTACATCCGATGCCATTGCAAGTAGCGTCAGAGGCAAGGAGAAAGCAGAGTGGAGCACCGTCAAGAGCACCTGGTGGACACAGGCAAGGCTCCTGCTGCCTTGCTGAGCCCTGGAGCGAGTGATTTTCAGTCAATCTTGCAACGATGCAATATGCAAAAATCACTCTTGCCACTGCCCGAGACACCCCGGCAACGTCCGCCGCATCAGGTGGCTGAACTCCTGCGCTGCTGCTAGACATGGCGGATGTATTCTGTATGTTTGCAAGGCTGAGTGACCGAGTGGAGATTTTGATCTGTGACTCCCTGCTAGCCGCCCACCCGGGCCCCACAACTTCCACATCAACTATTCATTTCAGGCTAGAGCAGGATTCTCCCAGTCCATTGTGAGGCATGCCCGGCAGGCCGCGGCAAAGCTCTCCCAGGGCAGCGAGAAGGGGCCCAAGTATCCTGATCCGGACGGCTGCTTGCCCTGCAACTGTCAATACACCCCATGCACGGGCTCCTGTCAGGCAGGCGCCTAGGGTCCGTCTCAGGCACGGCAGAGCCGACCTTGGGCATGACACCGATTGGCTTTGACGGCTTGTCAAGGTGTGCGCGTAGCACCGACAACATTCAGTGCTGGCAACCGCGAAGCCGGCTAGCACAACTGACTAATGCTACAACAGCGTAGGTCATCAAGTACCACCAGCATATCTTGAGAAACATCTCAAGGACATGAGAACGTGTTCGAGGAATAGTGTTGGATGAAGCTGATACGCTGCAGGCAAACTAGGTGCTCACCGATGTTCAACGCTCAAGGTCTGTCCCTGACACCAACTTCAAGGTAGCGCTGTAAACGTGCTGGCACAAGGCTGTCAAGTGTAAGTACTAAGACTGCTCTAGGATCTCTAGGAGAGCACGGGGTGGGAGAGACCACCGGTTCAACTGGCCACCTCCCAAACAAAGGTAATGACGAGCTGTGATATGCCCGCAAGACCACAGCAGACGCCAAGGAGGGGGCAAGAGGCAGCGCTGCAGCAACCAGGGCTGCACAGGCCTCCAGCGCCTGAGAGCTCTCCACAGCACTCCCCAAGACAGAGGATCCGTACAGCCAGGCGGCAGGAAGCCCGAACTCCAGCTTGGCAACTCGCAGAACCTCCCGAAAACATGACAGAAAATGGCGCAGACACTGCCACAAACGTATCTCACCTCGCCCTGAAAGATCGGGCTTAGCGTGGTAAGCGCCGAGTGAACTCCTGGCACTCTACAGCGTCGGGTCTGTCGTGAACGCCCGCGTGAATCACACGCACTGGCTCAAGAACAAGCGGCGTCCTCTTCCAGGCGCATCAATGCCAATCATCGGCAGCCACTCCTGTCGGGGTAGTCGGAGAAGGGGCTTGCCTACTCCTGTGCAATTCAGCAAAGGATGCTGCCTCGTACAGGCTTTGCGCCCGCAGCCATGCTGCTGCGGCTGACAGTGTGGCCTCATTCGCCGAGCGCCGAACCGCCTCCGAACACATTGCCCATGCCATACAGAGGTCGATGTGAATGCGCTTCTCGCAATCTCCAACTCGACCACCGGCCCAAGTCCGACAAGCAACGGAAGTACATGCCTCAACGAGAGCCGCTAAAATCACTGGCTGGCGATCGAGGAGAGCCAGCAGAAAGCGGCTTCTGTCGAGACAGAGGAGGATCAAAAAGGGCGGCCACTCTGCATCTGGCTAGGCTTCACCGTCATCTAGGCATGTAAGTGCAGGGATGCACAGTGCAGTTTCTCAGGACTTGACAGACTACCTGTGTTCTGTAGAAACCTCCCGCAACCTGTACCACGGCACGCGACTGCCTGCGCGACCCGTCCACCAGAAGACGCCGGCTGAAGGGCTCTTCTGCAAGCGCCTGAGACAAGAGCTTATGCTTCTCAAGGTGGCGCATAGCTTCTCAGAACAAAGACCCTGCTATGAATCCCTTATTCCCAATCAGGGTTGTCGGTTTTTGTTACTCCGTATCGTTTTGCAAGGTATCAAGGATCATCACTTATGACAAGCACGGGGAACAGGCTTGGCCCTTGGTCCATCTCCCAAGATGTTCATAGGTCTTAGAAGAGGATACCAACACCTAAACGCGTTGGGTGGTACGAGTCCCGGATAACTCACTGCCGTTCAACACACACCTCTGTCAAACCAAAATTATCTTTTTGTGATCGTTTCGGAGACTCAGCTGGCCTCGGATTTTGGAGGCTTCATGCAGCAAGTCCCCAAGCTTCAGTTTGAGAGGTGCAGCTTGCACAGTCAAGTTTTGCAAAAGTTCAACCTCTACAGCCTCAGTTTGCGCATCACTGCAGTACTACCAGCAGGAGCAGTAGTGGTAGTGGCAGCAGTAGCCTGTAGCAGTAGCTGTAGCAGTAGTAGTACTAAAAGGAATATCGTAATCGGACAAGCCATAGTTCGTTCAACATACATTCAAACATTATCGTTTTTAACTTCTCATCGTTTTACAGGCCAAACCACACAGGGGGGCATCCTAAACTAATCTACACCCCCCCCCCCCTGTCCCGGTGTTATGCAACCTCTCTTGCGCCTGCAGGAACTCTAGCAAGGGAAGCAAGTCCTGAGCTGGAGTGTTGGATTCTGTGGAAGGCCTTTGCCAACAAACTGTGCAAAATAATACTCCTTCACAGTATAGCTGTCGGGAGATGGCACATAGGACCTTCGCTGAGTAGTTGCAGGTACAACCGGCACCTTTCTCTCAAGAATGCTGGTGCAGCCCAGCTTATGGCAATTTTTTCGCAACGGGTGCCTGCAGTGATGAGCCGAAGGGCCCCACCCAGCTGGGTCATGGCAGCTGGAAGAGCGTTAGGCCAAGTGTCGCCTGGGCCGGGAACGGAAGATCTGGGCAAAGCTGATGTTTTTCAGTAGAGCCCAACTTCGTAGGCTTCGGAAGCTGCCTTCATGTAACTTCCCAGGTATTACTGGCAACACTGGCTGTGAGGCTGAGGCCCTGACACATAGCTACGAAGCTTCTGGACAAAGCCACGCACAGCCTTAAGTGGCAGCGGTGGAGCGGCTGCGAGAGCCCCATGTGACACATTCAAAAGTTTCTCAGCCGACCCCGAGATCAACAGTGCTTACTGGTCTTCGAGACTCCAATTACTTCGATCTGCACCACTTTACAAACCGACTATCAAGAGGCCGTGGGGTTCTTCGTTATGAAGTGCCTAGTATCACGAATGCAAGGGCCTCTTCCTGCTTGCAAGCCCAGGCACTGTCGTAAAGCCGGCTTACCACAACTCCCAGAACTCAGAACCTCCGTGCGGCTCGACAGTGCACAAGCTTCCGGACTAGGATTGAGCCGCCGAACATCTGAAGAAACAGTCCTGCCTCTTTGACACCACGGGCTTTCTACAACAGCTGCTGACAGGTCGGTGCAGCCACCAGCAATTGATCTTAAGCGGACTGTGCGAATGCGGCACCCTGGGAAAGCAACTTAACTAAATCTAAACAGCTCGGAATCATCTATATACAGCCAAATGCGTTTGCCACATGTAGTCAAGCCATCGATTCGGTCTCGTTGAAACCCGCAGCCGCCTCCAGAAGTTCTGGAGCGACCTCGCAGTTGTCAGTCAGAAGTCTGTTGCGACACGGAACGGCAGCAAATCCTTGCGCAAACCGGAACAGCAATCGCGACGATGCCCTGCTTCTGCAAGATGCCATCGAAAACTTCGACACCAATGAAAAGATCGAAATGGCCAGCTGACATAAAAGACTGCATCGAGTCTTCCTTTTCGCTGCGACCCAGACTTTCCCCAAGGGCTGATCCCGCACCCTACAACTCTGCAACACAAGCAAACACAGAAATGAACGCACGGCACAGAAACAAACACATAAATGAATACATGTAAACACAATGAGAAAGAGAGATATGCATAAAAAACATACATCCATGCATGCATGCATGCATGCATGCATGCATGCATGCATGCATGCATACATACATACATACATACATACACACACACAAATATAGTGTAAATATGTCCGTATGTATGCATACCTATATATATATATATATATGGTCCCCCCCCCCGCATTGACCTACCCTTTTGCCTCTTTTGAGACGCAAGGGTGGGTCGGGGCGGGGGG